ACTGCACAGCCAGAAGCATCTTTCCAACTTGCAAAACTCATTGAACCAGCAATCAGTTGTTGCGCTACCAACAACAAACCGCTAATTTTTTTTACTGGTGATCTAAATGGATGTTCTACAGATTTTTCATTCAATCAATTAATTAGTCTAAACTCAAGCACAACTCGAAAATTATCAATCTTAGATATAATACACCTAAATGTTACATTTTTCAAACTCTTCCTGGACTCGGTAACTCAGATCACCTCGTTGTTTTATGTCACCCATCATTTTATCTATATAAAACATACCTACCCCCTCCATGTATTACCTACTTCTCCGGTAAAATAGGACATACAGAAGCATTAATTAGAGGCACTGAACTTAAAAACTTAGTCGAGTTGCATCATGATATCCAAACCGCATGCACCAATTTCTACCATGCAATATTGGCTGCTCAAGATTTGTGCCAACTTCTAAAAACTTCAACTCTTATTAACCCCATACCTTGAATGACTCCCTTTTTTCAAAGCTTAATAAAATCACGCCAAAAAAAGAGGATGATAGCTGCAACGATAAATAAACTAATCATCAAAAGAAAAATATAACAAACGCTACATATCAGGCAATACTTATTTTTGGAAAGAAGCAAAACAATGTAATAAGTCTGTAAATAAACCATTAAATTCTTAAAATCTAATCTAAAATCTAATAAACAATCATTATCATTATGTTTGGAAAGATAAAAATGTTTTTATCTCAACCTTTATTAACACAATTGCAGATCAATCTGCAAATCCCATCTTTCTTGCAATATTTTAATCCAACTAAGCAAACTAAAGTCTGGATCACCTCCAATTCTGTTTAAATCATCTTGTTTTGAAATACTTGCATCACTTTATATTCTATTTAATCGATTAATTGAATGCAATCATATGCCAGATCAATGGAAATCAACTCACTTAACACCTATACCCACTTTTTATTTAAGGTAGCGTTCTTAGACTTATTATTTTTATATTATTCATACATGATATGAATGATTTTTTTACCACCTGAGACAAACCTGCAAAAATATGCCAATGATATATTAACTTACATCATCTATGACAAAGATGCAAAAAACCTACTTCAATCTATTGTGGATGGTGTAGCAAACTGGGCTACTGTTAATGGTATGAAACTCAATCATTTAAAGTGTAAAACATCATCAATTGACAGTTATTAATAAAGTTGCAATTCTATTGCCAATTCTTTTAAACTCAAATCAGTTGATAGCTACAAGTACCTAGGAATCCTAATAAACAAAAATCTTAACTGGGATGATCAATGGATAAAAGTTCATAAAAAAGTTCATAATATAATAAAGTTCATAATTGTTTTTAAGTCAGTACCCTACTTACTAAAACGACTTAAAAAGATTGGTCATACTCAATTTAACCTATTTCAAATTTATAGATCCTATGTACAATATATAGATCTCACATTCTGTACAGTGCACTGTGGAAAATAAAGGTCTGAATTTTGGATCGAAAATCAATAACTTTTTTGTTACTAAAGATTAAGTGTTGAAATTTTGCATAAATGTAAAGTAGTATATAACGTTTATAAAAAAATATATTTTATAAAAAAAAATTTAAATATAAAATTTGTAAAATAAAAATCAAAAAATTCAAAATTTTCATTTTTGAAAATTTCAAAATTTCAATTTTCATTCACCTGAGAAGAAAGCTTCTGGAATTATGTAAAGTTGCTTAATCAAATTTGTATTTTCTCCAATGAATCCAGGCATTTAATGTAAACAGTCCGTATTGATACGAACTTTCATTTTCAAGCCTAGCAAATGCTTTAGTCAAATTGTTCATTTGTCGTGGAGTAGCTCCACATATTGTACATGTAGACGCAGAAGGCGTATCTGTTAATACCTGAGCCACTTTTCCATCTACCATTGTTAGGAAAAGTTTATGTTTCACTAGTATTCCTTTACAACATTTTTGGAAACCGCGCTTATCCACAGCTGATTTTAATAAATCAATTTTATAGCCACCTAACTACAAATCAAATACAAAAATGAAGCGTGGGGAAGCGTGGGTGACTACTAAAAATATCGGTGAACTTTAAAATTTTTTTATTTTCTAGCTCATTTTGTAGTTCAATTATTAGTAAACAAAACCATATAATTAAAAATATGAATTTGTTCTAAAATCTCCATAACATGATGCTTTCAAAAATGTATAACACTTTATACTTATTCATAAAAGGTTTTATAAAAAATAACTTTTAAACTGATGAAGCAAAGGAGCTTCAATTGAAGATTTACAAAAATATGAAACAGTAGGGCTTCAAAAATTATCTTTTTACATAAAATTTGTTGAATTCTTTACATTATAGTAAAGATTAACTATTAAACTATTAAAAAAAATTAAAATATAATTTCTGCAGTGAAATTGAAATTTGAGCAAAAAACATTTATGGTACGTTTTTGTAGTACTATTTTCCACAGTGCAACACCCCTATACTCTTGTCTTGCAGTATTGTAGCAAAAAAAGAGCTACAACTATTCAACAAACAATCAAAGTTAATAAGATCGATGCAATAAATTCATACCAATTCAATATCTGTCACAGTATCAAAGAACTTATTGATAAAACAAATATAAAATTACTTAAAAAAATCTGACCCAACACATGCAATAACTTCAAAACTCATCTCAAGGAAAGATGCTGGGCAGAAACCCTGACAGATTATTATATAAAACCAATACTGCTAACACTACATTGTATCAAAAAACGTTTGTTTTGAAATATTTACGTTTACTTCGAGATGGGATTGAAAACCTATACCTTTGTAAGTAATTAATTGTTGGTACATCTCCCACTTATTATTTTTAACCTAAGAGAATAATACTAATAAGAGAAAAAAATTGTAAAATTTATTTATATGCTATGTAGTTTTAAATAAATACTTATAAAATAAATAAAGTTTGTTTTGTTGTTTTGATTCTGATAAATTAATTAAATTTTCAATTTTAATTGATTTATTAATAATATTTTTTAAGAAAAGTTTGCTTTTTGTTTTTATTGTAATTATTGTATTTAAATTAAAAGTTTGTTTTGCTTTTTTATTTTAATTACTTTGGAAATTAGAAATTGTTTTGTTTACAATTTAAGTAAAAGGTTGTACTTAGATAAAACATTCGTTTTTATGTTATATAAAGTTCAGAATTTGGATAAAAAATTTGTTTTTCTGTTTTTATTTTAATATATGGCGAAGTAATAAATGTCTTAGCCACTGTAAGTTTTCAAACATTTGTGGAATATTCTGACACTATTATAAAAAGAATTCTAGAATTGTTTACTTTTATATATATTTTTAAAGGGAAAATTTAATATAATTATATTTTGAGCTCACTTATTTTATAGTTTTTTGGGAGAAATTTATTTTCATGCATGCTGTTTTAATGATGGACAAATTCAATATAAAATCATCAATAATTTTATCATTCAATTCCCATATGTATTTTGACAGCATGGTGTCTTTTTGAATACTTTTTATTTTTAAAGGATTGTTTATGGTTGGCAAAACGTTTTTTCCATTCACCCTCTGCTAAGCCAATATATTGTTTACCAGGTACATTCTTAGAGGAAACAACAACTATATTTATATACATTTATATATATAGAAAAAAATACCATTGTGAATTTAAAACTATATCACACTTATTACACACAGACTCGAAACCAAATGGTAGTAGAGAATTTTCAAACATGTTTTTTTTTTTGTATACACTTACCATGGACATTATTTAGAAAAAAATTAAACTTTTAAAAGTTAAATACTTATAAATGAAGTTGTGAAGAACCAAATTTACTTTTGGAAAAACCATTTGGAAATTCAAATTTTGGAAGAGATCAATCATTCTGACATTAAAACAGATAAAAACAGTATTTTTTAAGAATTTTTACAAAATATTTTAAGAATTTTCACAAAAAATCTTGAAAAATCTTGTTTTGCAAAGAAAATCTGACAGTTTTTAACTTTTGCTATTAAATTTTATTGCCAACTTATGTATTAGATCTCAATTTGGGATACGCGTGTAATCAATTCTAACATAATAGGAATATTAAAAAAAAAACATAATTGCATTTTTAAATAAGTTTTTCTAATGAAATTAATTTGGACTAATCGAAATGTTGGTATTGGTTTCGGTAATATATTTGCCGAAATGTTGATTTTGGTTTTGGTACCAAACTAAAGTATCAGAAATTTCAGTTTATTTTGGTTTTGGCTGTTTTTCTGTTTCAGTCGATCACTAATGTCAACACTAAAAAAAGATAACATCAAAATTATGTTTGTGACCTTTACTTGAATGCATTAACTGCAGCTGTATCAGGCACACAAAAAGACTACAGCTGTTGTCCACATTTATAATTGGAAAAAAAAATCTTTAAAATGATAATGGCCTTTTAACAAAATTTTGCATCAAAGATTATGCCAATGCTTATTCACTAAAAATGCAAATAAAGACTGCAAACTCCAGGAGTTTTTATTTGTGAGCAACTGCATGCTCTAGCAGTATAAAATTGACACATGATCCACTTGTACTGTCTTGCTTGTGTCCTATCCAATTTACACAAAGGCAATGAGGAACCAAACTATATAACTGATGAATAATGACTTGCATTCACAAAAAGCTAGTATTATCTATATAAGTCAAATAGTAAACACTTATGATGGCTTTGAATGCAATTGAGTCAAATATGCTGTATGTTTTTGAGAATTATATTGACAATATTTTCTAATAACAGAAGTGTTTTCTAGAATTTTTTGAATAGTAGAATTTATAGAATACGCAAGCTTATAGAATCATTACCTTATTTTTAAAAATACTAATCTTTGTGTTACACTAAGCTTTGTTTTATACTACGCTTTGTCAGCTATGTTTGCATTGAAGATGTTTTTAATTTTTATGTGATGTTGTTTTGATTTTTACCTCCAACATAGATAACTTTTTTTCCTAG